TTAAATAACATGATGTCAAAAAATCCGCCCAAAAGCTTATCTTATTTCTGTTGGTTACGTACCGCTGATTCGCAATGTTTGTCATCACTTCAAGATGTCTACCGATTCGTGAAAAAGGCGTATTAACTTTTTTTTTCAAGGTATACACAATGAGAATTGACAAATTAGTAAAAAGGTCACAAACTTTATATAACGCCTGTAGCCAAATTTTTGCCATAATTACATATTTTTTAAAATCATTAAAAATCAACCATACAACCAAATTTAATTTTGTAAACGTTTTTAATGTTATAACACTTGGTAGATTTTGTGATATCAGTATTGTGGACATCCAATCAAATTTAATTTTTTTTTAACATGCCTACTTTGGCAAAGGAAAGTTGCTGGGGGCCAGTTTACTGGTAACCGGCCTAGCCTAGTCTAGGCCTACTACTACTAGGCTAGTAGATAGGCCTAGCCTAGGCTAGCCTATCTACTAGCCTAGGCCCCGCGCCTCTTGGCCTACTACTAGGCCTAGCCCTAGGCCCCTATGCCTGGCAGCGGGTAGGCCTAGCCTGAGAGAAGGCCTCTAGTCTAGGGCCTAGGCTAGGTATGCCTGGGCAGGCTAAGCTAATTACAGTTGATTAGAGTTGTACTTAATATAAACTATGGCCGTAAATCTCACCGTATACGGTTTCTCATCATCCTCAGATACTTGTCGAAAGCTTGGTACAGTAACATGTATCATTTTAAACTAATAAATTTCATGTGTCATGTCATGTCACACGACACGTTGTTGTTTGTACAGGATACCATCAAAAACTGACAGCATTCGCGTCAACTTGCGTCAACTCTTGCGTCACATGATAATGGATGATTATGAGCGCTCAAAAAAAGTTTTCAAAATGGCGGATAATTCAAAGTCGGACATTTCTTGTTCTCCAAAACAAAGTGAAGGACACCCTAAATCGGACGATTTAACGGACAAAGATGGTCTTCATATGCTTCACATAAGAGAGGCTCTCGATAAGACTCTCAAAAAATGTTTGGAATCTGCAAGGTAGGTCTTGTCGGCCCCTAGCCAGGCTTCTAAATCATGGGTTTAGGCCAGGCCTAGCCTATGCTAGGCCCTAGGCCTAGTAGTAGGCCTAGGCTAGGCCTAGTCCTACTAGTAGTGTACTAGGTAGGCACTAGGCCTAGCCTACCTACCGGCGCGTATGATGTGTTCGCATTCAGCTCTGAAAACGGCGGCCTATTAACTACTAGCCTAGGCGGGCCTACTAGGACCAGCAGCAGCTTTAGATTAGCATTATTTATTTATTTATTTTTTATTTATTTTTTTTGGTAGGTATGCTCATGTTTCACTACTGTAATATTAAAATGTTTAATACATAGACCTAGACTCTGGAGGTTAGGTTAGACCTAACTAATTAATATTTTGTACCTTATCTTATTATTATTTTACCTTACCTTAATCATTGTTATTCGCAGTTTCATAGTACTAATAGATAAGTGCAGGCCTACCAAGCCTCACGTCTACGGCGTGAGGATCATGCCTCAGCGCCTCTTCTCCGGCTCACCCGCTCAGTCAGTCGATGGGGCAAAAACAAAGAAACTAAACAAAAACACAGGGATCTATCTCATTAGAAAGTCGATAATAGGGATTATGTAAAGTGGCAAGTGGCTATCGGCACTGCCGCAGCGCCGAAAAGTTGCTGTTTTCTATCGGCACTGTCACAGTGCGAAAAGCTGCTGTTAATTAATCGAATCGACGTTTTTATTGATAGATGACATTGGTGTAATTCATAATTCATAAATTTATTTCACTCAAAACATAATGAGACTGGTTAGGCAAAAACATGTCGCTGTACAAGATGCCTACCAGACAAACAATGATAATGTTAATGGCGAAGACATAATAATAATAATAATAATAATAATAATAATAATAATAATAATAATGATAATAATAATACAGATAATAATAATAATAATAAATAAATAATAATAATAATAATAAATAAATAATAATAATAATAACAAGTAAATTATAATAATAATAATGAATGAAGATCAAAATATATCATTGAAGTGAATTCAGTTATTTATTAAAACAAGATTTGGAGGGCTGGTCTGTCATGAAGGTGTTGTATTAATGATGTTCTAAATACTTGCCTTATATCAATAATTGATTAGGTCTAGCTTAGCCTATATTATTGTTAACATTATATTATATTTATTTAACAATTAGTTTAAATAATTATTTATAATTAAATTATTAAATGTATACAATATATATTATATGAAAAAAGAAACTTTGCGTCCAATGGGTTTGGGTCCTGGTGGAGGCAAAGTTTCTTTACTTCATTCTGATCAGATTAAAGACAACGGCTGAAGTTACAACATGACCAATAATTAAAAATTTAATAACGGTTTAACTATTTAATGTTTTATTATTTGAATTATTATTATTAGTTCAGCACCACAAACAGTATGTATAAGTTCTACTGTTTTCTCTACTCTCTCCGTTCCACGCGCCTCAGGATATTGGTTAAGTAACAATTATTGTTGTGTCTTCTTAATAATTTAATAATAATAATAATAATAATAATAATAATAATAATAATAATAATAAGCCCCTAATAATAATAATAATAATAATAATAACAGGTCGATTTATACGGTGCAAATAAACAAGGTCTCTAAGCGCCATGTCCAAGTCCTCTGGGGCGGATCCAGAGATTTTCTGAAAAGGGGGGGTGGGGGAACAATATGAGGTTCTCACCGCCACGCCCACCTTAGCCCACCATGGCTGGTGGAAAGTGGAAAATAATCGAGCTATCATTTCATTCCACTGCTGGATCGCCACTGAGCTCATGGGTACAATTTTTCCTCTCTTTAACTCAACATTTTCGGCTTGACTGAATTGGGTGGTTTGTGGGTGGGGGGAGACGGGCCCTCATGCCCCCCACCCCATTCGCTGGATCCGCCACTGGTCATGGTTTCATATTCTATGCTTTTAGTAATTTTATCTTTTTTATTATATATTTTGAAACCGAATAGACCCCTAAATTAAAACAAAAAAGAAGCAAGTAAAGAAAGGTAAGGTGAATGTAAAAAGAAGAACAAACTATCCTAAAAATATTAAGAGTGAGAACGATCAAGAACCATAATATATCGAATACAGTATTCGTACGATATATGTGCATTAGAAACCGCTATCGAAAACTTACCGAAACCGTACTGTACGGTTCCGTGAAGTGCGAATAGCCGGTTTGTTTGTACTGTATTAGTTTTCTCCAGCAAACGTCGCAATAGGAGCTAGCGGCCTAGCTGGTATCGATGATACTTAATGGAGTTTATTTTATGATTAGTCAGTTCTTTATATTGAATAAAGGTATTGTCTAGAAATCCTGGCGTACTTATAAGTTGAGGGTCTTAATTTGTGGGGTCTGATATTTTGAGTGGGTCTGATATCTCGTGGTCTTAGGTCTTACCTTTCGTGGTCTGAGCTTTTGGGACACCCATCAAAACCTGCAAAAAAGGCCACCTGGGCTTATAACAAAGCCCACTCATTAACTTTACAGGAGTAAGGTTAACTCTTTCCCATTGCTTAGCATTTACATTTTTTTCCTGAAGATAAAATAATAAATGTCAAAATATTGAATCATAAAACAAAGTCATGTATCCCATATCTTGTGAGTTGTATTACTCTATATAAGAATTCTGCAAGTATAATTTGTATTATAGGTATGCACCAAATTGCACAATTTAAAAAGAAAAAAATGAAAATGTTTTCTACTGGTGTAGTGTGACACAGGCAGATCCAGTAGGGGGCGTGGGGCATGTGCCACTCCCCCACCCTGTCCCCCTTTATTGTTTGATTGTTCTCACTCCCAGCTAATTTTAACAAACTTGCCATCTCTGTAAGTGATTAGCACATAACATTAATATGCATCAAAATTTTTAAAATTTTAGTGGAAATGCACCTTCTGGCACCTAGATATGTAAAGATAATTACATTTCTATCGTGAATAACAATTACAGTTACAAAAACCGTGAATTCACAATAAACTGTGCGCAATTCAATAGTTTTAAAATTAGTGATTGTTAGTGGCCATCTGGTAGTCGGATTTGCCAAGACTGTAATTCAAACATGGATATCAAAAAGTCATGGTCTTCCATTTATATAAAAGCACATACTACTGTACAATGCAATATCTCTATGCGCATTCAGTACCAAAAACATTTCAGAACTTTAGTGCACAGAGCATTTCGCAGGTTCACAGCAGTTAATTTCTCCAATTTTCTCTATCATAATTAAGATCTACATGTCATGAGCTTTCATTTTTTTCTTTCAGGTCATCTAACAACATTACTCTAATAGGCACAATGAAAATGGTGATCATGTGTGATTGAAAACTAGTGATTATTGTTTTTATTGTTCGTTGATCATGTGTGATTGAAAACTAGTGATTATTGTTTTTATTGTTCGTCTGTAAAAGTGGTGTAGTTTGTTATTCTTTATACTAACATTAGGCAAGACTTTTTTATACCTTGTTTAGCGAACCCGCCGACTGCAATATTGATGATTTCAAATAAAAATAAAATTTTATTTTTGGCCCATTAGCACACCGGCCGCCACGAAAAAGGGGAAATTTCGGAAAAAAAATAAAAAGATTTTCTTTATTTTTGTCACGCCCTCCGCTGCCTTGAAATCTCTAAAGATAAGATATTTATATTTCTATCTAATTATATAAATTTTAAGCATTTAACCATCCTATTTTACATTCACCAATAAAATTTTATTTTTATTTTCTCTTCCGTCCTCCTCCGATAATCTTTAAAAAAAATAAGTATGCAAAACAAGGAAAAAAAATAGTCTTGCCTTACTACCATTGTTATTTCTCCTACAAAATACTTATTAATTATCACCTAATTTGCATATTTGTACACATATCATGCTGAAAGTATTTATAAATATTACAAATAAAAATAATGCCAAAAATAGTTTCAGCCACCCTTGTTTCAGATCTCTCTCTCATTTTCATTTTATAAATTATGAAACTTTTCATTTTATAAATTATTAAACTGGGCAATCAGCGTGCCCTACAGTCGTCAGCCTACGCTATTCTATGAAGAACGCAATGCGCGACCAACAAATTTTTTTTTTATGACAATCCGTTCAGAATGCCATGACAATCAGCAGACAGAGTGGAGTTGGACTCAATCGTGTGCCCGACTTAACACATTTTTTTTAGATTTATTCCCTTCATTTTAACATTTTTATTAAATCAGTTGCATCAGAACTTGTCTGAATAATTCAAATTAATTCTTAAATTCATATTATGTTTACAAAGTTTTTACTTACATTTTAGGTACAATGTATTTGCAAAGCACTATAAATTTGTAAAAGAAAAAGCACTGAGGAGTATTGTGTCACAGTTTGTAGAAAATCTGCAATCATCCATACAGGTACTATGTTATGATTGTTTTATCTCATTTATACACATGTTGTCTTAAACCTTGACCACATTCAAGATTCTGTGACAAATGCATGTTTGTTGTGGTGGTGTTGTTTTAATCATTTATGGACTTTATAGGTGCGTTCGGGCAAGTTTTTGATGGAGTCTAAGACGGGATAAATCCGGAAACGGCCATTTCCACTTATAGCCAGAAAGGGTGTTAAACGCAGACCGCCTGCTGATATCTGCTGATAATCCAACGCTGCAAATTGCAGTGTTTTTGGAGAAGCAAACGCATCATGCGTTAGCAGCAGGGAACATTTTTTATCACTTAATCCCTTTTGATTGTTTCAACATGCGCCAGAAGTAAAGTCTGTTTAAATGTTCAAGAGGATAAAGTACCTATATCATTCCTAACATTTTTTAAGTAATATCTTTTTTAGTCCAATAAAAAAAGTCATAAATTTATAGGAGAAATGCAAAAAATTCAATACTAAATTATTTAAGATACATCATTTATATTTTGGCCTTCACTATAGATATCGGTGAATCTGGAAAGGCGTGTAGAGATATAATTAACTCTCTACCTAGCTAGGTTTTTGAAAATAATTTAGTGAAAATGGGCCTAACTATCATTTTATTGGAAAAGTTTTTGAAACATATTTTTTACTTCTAAAGCCAGTCCATTTCAGTAATTTCCCTAGATGCTTCAGCACTGCACCTAAGCCACAATACACTAGATGTAAACATGTCTGTTAATTCATGTATCAGTTTTTCTTTTATTTTCATTTTAGACTGAATTGGATTTGATGATAAAGGAAGAGGGATTAGTGGCATTATTTAATGAACTTGACCAGCTAATCGAAGACACACCCACAGACCGTGAAGGACCAGCATGGTAAGTAGCTTTAAGCCAGGGCTACCAGCTGGGGAAAGCAGATGACTTGTGCTTCTAGAGTGCTTGATATTAATACTAATAACCAGTGCATATCTAATACATGAAAAAGCCCAACTCACAGAAAGCATTGAAGTTTTAAGTTTGCTGAGTAGAGAAATTTATTCCAACAACAATATTTTGTGAGGGTGGTCCATCCAGCCGGGGCTGATCATTTGGGACCCTCAAATACATACAAAGCAAAAACAATAGAGTACAATTACAAAAACAAAGTAAATAATTAAAAGACGTTAAATAGAATTAAAATAAACTCAATAAACAGAAAAAAAATTAAAACGTAATTAAAAAAAAAAACAATAAATATCAAAGTTAAATATAAATTAAATATATATGTATTAAATGAAAGAAACAAGATAATTGAAGATTTAATATAATGTACATTCCAATAATTGTAAATGAATACACATAACTAAAAGAATTAAAAAAAGAGAAAAAATTATAAAAGGCATATTTAGAAAATATAAAATAGCAATAAAAGTAAAATGTGATTAAAATAAATTTGTTACAGAAACCAAGATAATCAAAAATTTAATAAAATGTACATTCTACCGAAAATAATTAATGTACGAACCTAAATGTTATCAAAATAGAATCCAAAAGAAGTATCTTTTAAAGAAATTAAAGCAAGTTGTTAATTACTGCATATTAATTATCTCATTTCCTGATCTAGTTTCAGATCTTTCCCATTTCTCACTCCCCAACACCCTTTTTAGTAATGCTGCAGTGCTAGATAAACTACTAATAATAACCATAATAATTATAATATAAGGAAAATCAGATAGTAATTCAAAGAGAACCTAATTTGTTTCTCAATTTTTTCTACTAAAGTTGTGGTAACTCAAGCCAGGAGCATCTCGCTCAACTATCCACCTCATGAATATACCACTAATTTATTTATTATAAATTTTATTTTGTAAACAAAGTACATACAGAATATACATCAAAAGAATATACTGTATATATAAATAAAAACAATGAAAACAATGAAGCCCCATGGAGTAAAGACAGCACTTATCCTGTAAGTATGTATTCATTGCCCAGCCATAAAATGCATTATTCATAATCAAACTATTTGTAGAGTTGTGTAGTCTTTGCAAAAACCCATAGATAGATTTTCTCATATTTTCAATAAATACTAATATTTCTTTTTGTTTTAATATCTCAGGAGACCAAGCGGAGATCCAAATTCTGATGTCATAAATCACCGGATGCAACCAAAATTAAAAGAGAAAGAACGACTAGTGAAGTTGCTTGAGCAGTGTGAGGTGGAAAACAAAAGATTACAAGAAGCTTTGAAACCCAGGAAAAGGCAGCTTGCAGATACTCAGCAGAAACTAAACAAGAGATTCAAGGCATTTGAAGATGTAAGATATTCTAATTCACTTTGAAATATTTGTATTATGAGCATACCTACACCAACAGTAATAACAAAAACAGCATACTAGAATGTTAAAAGAGATCTACCAGTTTTATATAATTTGAAAACTGATTTAGCATACTCAGTTTACATAATATCCCATTTTAAAATTATAAAACTTGTTCGCTCTAATTACCTAGACGCTCTAAACTAAATTTGTGATGATGTGTCAGGTGCATCGTTTTATCTAAGCTCAGGGACAGGCCATTGTAATGCATAGGATTAGGATGATTCTAGGCAAGTTTTTTGTATTATTACTATCCTTGTATTGGTATAAAATATTATCAAATGACCCAGGTAGTCAAAGATGCATTACAATGGCCTGTCTCTAAACTTGTATGGAGCAATGCACCTGGCACATCATCACAAATTTAGTTTAGATCGTCTACGTAATGAATGCTCACAAGATCCATAATTTCAAAAATGGGATATTATGTACCTGATTATGTTAAATCAGTTCTCATAATGTATAAAGTTTGTAAACTTCTCCTTTAAGATTTAGAAGACTGCAAAGTGTCTTCCTTCAAGATGGCTGTTAAAGCCAGCACCAATAGATTTCAATAATCAATCATTGTATTTCTAATACAACTTAGAATAGAGTAATAACCTATGATGATAATAGATTATGATTAAATATGTAGTAAACATACTTACAATTTTCCCTTCAATGGTCACATTATTAGATATTAAATTTCTTACGCTTTTCAACTCCTCATCTTTCTTATGTATTCCAATGTCTTTTTGGTCAAAGTACCAAACGAGTGCTTTCTGGAGTAGTCAATTGGAAATGGAGCAAAGTATAATAAAAACAATGCAAAAATAATATATTTATATATAGGTTTTAGAATAATCAATATGTTTATACCACAGTTGTTAACCCTAATTATTTGTTTGTAGGCTGCAAAGGCTTGTGATAAAATCCCAATGAAGGAAATACAAGAGAGCGTGAAGCATCTGTCACAGATGTGAAATGGTATCAGAGAAGGTGCCATACAGAAGTATAGTTTAAACAGTCATGACTCTTCTAAGATACTTGAAAGAAGAAAACAATGAGGGTGGTTACTGATGGAGCAAGATATTTTTTTCCAACCAACAAGAACTCCTGAGCCTGAGGATGTTTATATTTTAAGACTATTGGCAGGATGCGCTGTCAAAGAGGATTGTCTTCTCTGTGGAAAAATTCAAAACCATGAATTTCAAATAAAACACACTGTAATTTGCAAGTATTAAAATAAGTTGTCCACTCATAATGAGATCAGATCAAAGCATTGATGACTCCAGAAATTTGCCGACGAGGGGTCTGACGGAGGTTCGAAGCAAGAGGCCTACTAGAGCCCCGATCAGGGTCCCAGAGTAGAAATTCCTGGTAAAGTTAATGGGGAGAGTGTTTATGGCTTAGTACGGCCCACAATTGTGTTTTTAGACCAAAATATCAGGGATTTGCAATCAAAATAACGTTTTGGATAGGCAGATTTATATTTTTGGTCTTGCAAACTCATCGGGTAACAGAGGTCCTGGCCCGTCCGACAGGGAGAAAATTTCCCCCCCCCCCCCAGTACTACCTGGATCAAAGCATATTTAAAGAATCTACACAAGGAATATTGAATTTATTTTATGCATTTGCAAAAAAAAAAAAATTTTTCTCATTCATTCCAATTTTAAATTAAAAGCAAATAACTATTCCTAAATATATAAAAAAGAGCAATTTAGATTATGTAATTTGATTGTTCAAAGATTTTTTTTTAGCTCACCTCTTACAGAATTTGTATAGTAGGGAGATTTCGATTGCACGACGACGGTAGAACGTACAACGAAATGACATCACTTAAAGTCATCTGCGCATACGAGGACGTCAAGGTCACCTCATCGAGTAGATTCTGGAACACAATTTGGCCAAATCTAGTTATGCAGAGAACGTAGGACGCCAGGCAGGACGGTCACGCATGAGTGATTCCGTTCTGTCGTCGCACAAATCGAAAGCTTCCTAATATCTTTATTATACAAGGAGACTTTATTCATCCCACTAT